GTTGGGCAATTTTACTAAGGAAATCACTTTCTTAAAAAGTACTTTTCATTGACATATAATATTTGTACATATTTTGTGGTGGATTGTAAGATTGTGACTTTTGATTCATGTTTCTCTTTGGAAAGAATCAACTCAGGATGATTAACATATTTATCACCTTATGTTTTTTATCATTATTAATGATAATAATGCATTATTATGATTACCCTGCTGTACTACAGAGCACCAAAACTTATTTCTTGTATCTAACCTTCTTATTGTTATGGTTATAAGGTTCCTTTTCCTGTGGTTTCCTCTCAAATTTATGGAAATATATTACTATTATGCAAAATGACAATTATACATTAAAACATCTACCACCACTTAGAATTTAAAAGACCAGTTTATTATTCAGTTTTACATATATTTACATATAATGTATTTATCAAAAGAATGACAGTGAGCTCTTAATAACATCATATCAATAATTCTTTACCTAAATAATTGCATCTAATTATCTCAAAAAGTCTATGATGTGACAAAAACTATCATCTTCCTTTTCACGGATTAGGAAACCAAGGATTAGAAAAGTTTTGCTATTTGTTCAAGTACAAAGAATTAGTAAAATTTGGAGATGGAGTCTGAAACAAATACTCAAGATAGTTTGACTCCAAATTTACTCTCTCAGCCTCTCCCATAAACTCATATAACCACATTTGATCCTCACAAAAAAGATTGAGGTTTGCAGAATAATAATGATCATCTTTGCATATTAAAAAAAAACCTGAATTACAGAGCATTTAAATGATAGAAACCTGGCCCTTTACTCCTGAGCTAGTAATATCTCATGATAAGATATGATCACATTACAATAAGCAATAAATGGAAATGATTAAATGCTTATCATCAGCCTTGCGATAGCAAACTCCTTAGAAAGTATTCTCATCTTCCATTTAACCAGAAAAGGTCTTCATGTCTTTTCTGCATTGTGAATGATTTAAAAACACTTCATTTTACAAACAAGTCTGAATAAAAGAATTTTTTTCCAAAGTATTCATGCTAGAAATTAATGTCTCTAAGGTGAAGAGGTGAAAACAAAATTTAAAGTTGGATGCCTACTACATGTGTGTTGAATGGTGACTTTACAGTGGAATTGCCTGAGAAGATTTTAAAAATACTCTCCTAGTGTCTCCATCTTATTGTGAAAAAGGGCCCTAGGGATCTATTTTCCAAAGCCAGAGTCTCATCCAGAGGCGAAATTGTTGCTCATAGGCTTAGCATGTGATAATTTTTGTAAGACACTAACATATATCATTTTGTATTCTTCTCATAATAACACAAATATGTATTGTAGAATTTATTCTGAGACTGCCTCAGGTAAAAAGATAAAGATTAGTGTTTCAGAACAAGTTTGGGCCATTTTTTATATAAAACTCTTAACTCTATACTGTTCTGCCAAAACACACCTGTCTGCAGATTTATACCATGATGATATCCTTCAGAAAATATTTGGATTTATTATGTATTTATTTATTTATTTATTTGTCTAAGAAGATACTTCCTCATTTAAGAGTCATCACTAAAAAAGCAATTTGGGTCATGATAGAAATTTTTGACCATTCATTTCTCTTTTCAGGGCTTAGGCAATGACAAGAACTGAATGCCTAGATTCATTAACTTAACCTCATATTAAGTATTAAGCTTATTTTAATAATGGAAGAATTAAATTTTTTCTTTAAGAAATCAAAGTACCACATCCCACCAAATTGGGAAGTTAAGGTCGGAGAATCACAAGTTAGATGTCAGCTTCAACAACTTAGCAAGACAGTGTCTCAAAATAAATTAAAAAGCACTGGGATGTAGCTTAGTGACAGATTTCTTGTCTAGCATGTATGAAGTCCTGGGTACAATCTCCAGTAATGCCATAAAAAGAATTAACTTCAACACATTAGACAGCAAAGAAAAATGAACTCATCCCAGGGTCTTCTGCACAGAAGAGTTTCCCCTTTCTCATAAGTCTTTTTCTCTCTATTTCTTCTTTTTCTTTAATATTTTTAAATTAATTTTAGACCTATAGAAAAGTTGCAAATATAGTTGCAGTATACCCCTTCTTAGTCCAGTTGTTGGTGCTATAACAGAATACCTGGGACTGGGTAAACTTATGAAGGACAGAAATTTATTTTATCTTAGTTGGAGACAATGGGTGATTCAAGATCAAGGTGTTGGTATTTGGTGAGGACCTTCTAGCTGCATCCTCTGGAGGGAAGAAATGCTATGTCCTCACATGCAGAAGGTGGACAGGCAAGAGAGAGGAAGTCTCCCAGTTATAAGCAAAGAACTCTGGTGTCCTAATTGCCTCTTAAAGGCCTTCCACTCTCAATTCTAACGCATTGGCACCTCCTGAATTTTGGGTGCAACACATTCAAACCCAGGCACCTCTCACTTTATGTTCAGTGTAACATATTAGTACAAGGATCAAATCATGGGAATTAACACAGATATCTGTTGTTATCATAATTTCCCTGGGTTAATGTTTGATCACTGCTTAAAGTAGACTTCTGCTGTAAAATTGTAATTAGTTGTTCTCCTAGTTAAAAAAAGAAAAAAACAAACAAAAAAAACTGGCAGGGGGGATTATACCTAGGGGTGCTTTACCACTGAGTATATCGCCAGACCTTCTTACTTTTTATTCTTATTTATTTATTTATGGTAATGGGAATTGAATTCACAGGTATTTTATGACTGAGCTATGTTCCCATCCCTTTTAATTTTTTATTTTGAGATAGGGTCTCACTAAGTTGCTGAAGCCGGCCTCAAACTTGCAATCCTCCTGCCTCAGTCTTCCAAATTTTGAGGATCACAGGTGCCTCCCAGCAGTGCTCCTAATATTCTCTGATTTCCAATTAAATCTTGGAGCACTAAGAGCAGGGGTGACCCCCAACATAGGACTTATCTTTACCTGAGATATCTTCTCTGCTTCATAATGGTGAAGCCGGTGTTCTCCAATCTGACATTCAAATATTCCCTTAGCTCAAATCTTTACCCTTAACTTTGATAATTGATTGTTCCTATTATCACTTTTTCCTTGTTATCTTTCACCTGGAAGGTTTTGCCTCCAATTCTTCCACAACCAATGTAATTTTCAAATAACAACAAATATTGTACTTTTATATGTTCAGTTCACTAGCAAGATCGATGAGTCTTGATTTAAACACATGTGTGTTCGTATGTGTGTGCACACATGTGTGGTGTGGATATATATTTTTCCAGCGTAAGGTGGAGTGTGCTGCACAAGAGGTATTCAATGCATTTTTTTGTTGTTGTTGTTGTTGATTGTAGATTTTGTAGAATCTCAAAATCATCATTCCAAGTAGAAATTTCAATTTTATAAGATTAATGACTTCTCAACAAATATTATTGTTACATTATCTTGAAGAGTGACTGCAATTCAGACATCTCAAAAGGATTTAAATTGGCAAGATATTGCAAGACCTTACCCTTTTTTCGGACATCACTGAGGTATTCTGCTCATATACATACTGCATCTCCTTCAGGATTAAAACACTTCCCCTAGGTGCATGGGAGCTTGGAGTATTCACAGCCCTAGCTGATGATCAGATCCTTACAACCAATTCACTGTTGTCCTCTTCCAAAATGACGGCCTGGATCATGCCAGCTCTGCATGCTCAGGGGGCAGCTCATACCTCAGGGCTCCTCAGTGCTGCAGCGTGAAGGCTGGGTCTTATCTCCTTGATGGGCAGCCCCGTTCTAGAGCCAACATGGAGTCCACTGAGACCTGTATTGTCACTGCCTCACAACTCTTGTGCTCTTGCCCAGCCCCCACACAGATAGATGAAGAGCACCCTCCAGTAAAAATTCTGCAAGAAATCTGAGCATCAGTTTTCCAAGAAACTGCTCTGTGACATCTACCATTCTTTAAGTCATCAGATACCTTATTCACTCACACTTTTGTTCAGTTACTAAATATGTATTCAGTAATTACTGTGTGTATGTAACACAAGTGTGGAAGGCTTTGGCCCTGTGCATATAGGCCATGATTCCTGTTATCAATCCAGACTTCTCCAAGTTATCCCAAGGTTCAGAAATTCCCCAAATGGCCCAGGGTCGCTACTTTGCCTTTACTGTGCTTAACACATTGTTGGGAGCTCCTTCCCTACCATACTCCTATGTTAAAGTTGACATGCCTTTAATGATTTAACTTAGATGCATTCTCTCTCAGCAACCTGTCTTTGACCACCCTGTCTATGCTGGACCAAGTGAGGTTTCCTTCCTTGACACTATGACATTCAGCTCAATTTCTCCTTAAATTCATCTGTTTCCTTCTTTTCCTTCCCACCACCAAACTGTAAGCTTCCTGAGTATAGAGGTTTTGTCTTAAAATATACACTCCAGTTCAGGCAAGACATGTGTGGAATTGTTGAAGATTAATCTGGAAAAGAAAAAGATTTTGATTCTATTATCCATAGGCCTAATTATCTAAGCATGCTGATTAATTGGTAGTTCTGATCTAATTTTATAGTCTGAGGAATTAAATACGATAGGATAAAATATTCCTTTGATATTTTTGTACAGCTTTTTCAGCAGCCAATTTTTCCAGGTACTTTCAGTTGTGTTTTTGCAAAACCTAAATGCTACATGGCTATATTATATTATTAACCTTATGTTTCAAATTCCTTTGATATGATTCCTTTGCATATTCTCCAAGCCAACTTGAATCTAATAGGTAGTTTTAAAATGAAAACTACAAAGAAATCTGAAATAATACAGATACTGAAAGGGCCTTCTTTATGTAGTACTCCAGCCTAGCAGTACCATTTCTTTTAAAAGACTTGGATGTTGTTGAAGTTAGAACCCAGCAGTTTATCTCCATTTTTTTAAAAAGAGATTTCTTTCTTCTTTATTCCCAACATGGATTTCTGTATGATATGCTTGGCAAAATTTAGCTCTTGGCGAAGAATTAAAGTGCTAATTATTACTTTTTTTCTTCTCCTTTTTATTAGGTACGTCTGTCACTAATGTAACAGCTACGGATGCTGATGACCCAGTTTATGGAAACAGTGCAAAGCTGGTTTATAGTATCTTGGAAGGGCAGCCTTATTTCTCCATTGAGCCTGAAACAGGTTTGTGTCCTACATTTTTAATTCTATTTACCATGTTTTATGCTTCAGGGAAACATTTTTCTTGGGATTGGATTATGAAATGTTCTGGCTAAGTATTTCATCACCTGTATTCATACTATTTGGATGTGCACTGTGAGGCTCAGAGTATCCTTTACAACCATTTTGATACTGATGAAAACAAATGGCAGAGCCTATGCAGACTATCACCTATTTCTAAGATGTTCTGATAATGATTTTTCTTGCTGGAATAAGAGGGTAAATATAATTTCAGTCATGCATAAGCTGTATTGTGCTTGATAAGTAAATTCTTAAGTTTTAATTCACAAATATATAAAATGGGCATGGAATCTACCTCCTAGTGTTAGAATGAATATCAGATAAAGCAATAAATATACAACATGCTGCATATGGTATATGGAAATCATTCAATGCATGTTAGATAGTATTACATTTGCCATTAGAGTCCTCATTGGTAAAACAGAATACTGATGTCTATCCTTTAGAGTTCTTATGAAGATATTTTCTGTTCAGTATTCAATCCAGCCAATACTCTGAGGTCTGGTGGTACAACTTTTAAAGACCATGAATTAAATTATTCTAAAAACAATCAAATGCAAATAAAAGTAAAAACAACAACTCTCATTTAAAAAAATGTTTTGGAAAATAACGTCATAAAAACAGTAGATTTTGTACTAGAAGAGGTATTTTTCTAATTGTTTTAATTTAATAATATATTAAGAGAATAACTTTTAAATCCTGTGGGATTTTGTTGTATCACATTTTAAAATTATTAAGAACAACATTATTCTTAAAAGTTCTTTTAAAAATAAGTATTAAAAACAGCATCTTTTTGTGTTTTTCTTCTGTATCTGGTGGTTTTGTCCGCAAATTTCCAAATAGAAAAAAATTAATATAACATATGTGTATACACACCTGCACATATATTATTTATTTATTTTTAGCATTATTGAGATAAATTTCCATGACTTGCTATTAAGTCAATTTTTAATTAAATTAAAAATTCAAAGTTTCTGTGTGCTTTTTATTTTCTTAAGTCAAGGAGTAAAATCCTCATGCATTTAAAAGTAAAACAAAAAAATACATTTATTCATAAGTAGGTCATGGCTTAAAATTGAACTTAGATTTGGAAGCAGGAAGGCACTCTTGTAAAGTGCATTAATTGCAGGTGTGATTATATATTCATCCTCAGCCAGGAAGGAAGCATGTCATAAATTCTATTTCATTGGGTCCCTGGATCACCCTGGAAAAGTGGCAGAGCAGGCAGTCAGCCCTGAGTCTTAAGGGAAAAGGAAGTCTCGACATGTCCTATTACTTGGCCAAAGTTAGAGTGGCAGAGTTAGGAGCAGACTTAGGAATTGCCTCCAGGTCCCTAATTTCAAAGCTACTGTCAGATGTCTTTGAACTTCACTTCACCTTTCATAGTCAATAATTATGGTATGGGGCTTCTTAAGAAAGCACTGTGCTAATTACCTAAGTGGAATAGAATAGTGTTCTTCTTCCATTCTTGGCCGTTGTTCACTTGAGTCTTTTTGTTCACTGTTCTGAGTATAATACAGATGTTAATCCAGCAGATATCTTTTGAGCATTCACTATGTGTCAGGCACTGAATTAAACATAGGAAGAAAAAAAAAAACATAGAGGCTGGTCTCAGCTTGCAAATATCTCATGATCCATTTTGAAAGACAGATTTTTTCTTTCAACATAAATAAAAGAAGCATGGTAATGCCATTTAAATAATTTATATCTTAAGAATAAATTACACTGAGATGTAGATAATTAAAGCCCTCTCCCTATAAGTTAAAAGATTTGGGCAATTTTAGGCTTCATTGATGTATATCTTTATGTGTATATGTGTGTGTGTGTGTGTGTATCCATTTGTTTAATTAAATGTTGTCAGTTTCATCTAATATTTAAATTTCTACTCATCATTATGTGTATCTAAACACACAACTATTTTAGCTTTACGATTTCCAATATGAGAGCCATAAAATATCTGGTTTATATTTTAGAAGATTTATTCTGACACTATCATATATAATGTCATGGAGAGAAATGATACTTGAACAATTCACATAGTAGTTGCTTTGTATATGTTGGGTGAATGAGCTTGAAGTTTTTAACTAAAGCAGTCTCAATGCAGCTGACAATCAGCAAAGAGTAAGTCTTTATTCTATAGCTGAAACAGACAGATATATGGTTGAAATGTAAAGAGTTTGTGTAAACGCCTGAATAATTATATTTGAGTGTGTGAAAATGGAAGTGGAAATTGTTTAGTTCTATGAGTTTCCTCCTTTCTTTGTCTTTTTTTGAGACTGGTATGAATGTGTGTGTGTGTGTGTGTGTGTGTGTGTGTGTGAGTGTATTGGTATGTGTGTTGAGAGAGAGAGAGAGGATTAGAGCCATGCAGAAACAGATGGAGAACACTGTTTAATTTTTTTCTATTAGAAAAATAAAAAAAAATGGACAGAGAGCATTGAACACTTGGACTTTTAATTTTTTTGAACATATGGAATTTAATACATTTTCTGGTGACCAAAAGATGTGTATCGCTTAAGTACAATGGAAAATAGATGCTGAGACAGAGTTAGCAGTACAAGTGGCTTATTCTTACTGGGGAGTTATGTCTAAGAAAGATAAAGGAGGCAGGAAAAAAAGCCTGTGTAGAGAAGTCCTTCATATCAGATGCAGATCGGCTATACAAGCAAGGAAAGACGAAGAAGAAGCAGGATAAGGTAATGTGGACCAAACAATATCTTGGCCAAACCTATGGGGATCCTTGGAGCAAAGATGACCCTTAGGAGTCCCACATTGCAGAAAAGGGGCCAGGCTTTATCACACCCACCATGCTCAGTCATTGTGTGGCAAGAGAAAGTTTGGCTTGAATTCCTCAGCTAACTGCACTCCTTGGCAAGTTCTTGAAATCCAAGCCGCAGGCCTCTGGCTGACCCAACATGCACATTGAAAGAAAAGAGATAACAACTTCTTACCGTACCAAATAAATGAATGTAATATTAAAAAAATAATCATAATATTCAGGGTTAACAGATGTTTGGTGAACAAACCGATAGCAGGGGCTTTAGTAGGTGCTTTTATTTTTAAGAAATATATGCTTGGGGCTGGGGATGTGGCTCAAGCCGTAGTGTTCTCGCCTGGCATGCACAGGGCGCTGGGTTCAATCCTCAGCATCACATAAAAATAAAATAAAGATGTTGTGTCCACCGAAAACTAAAAAATAAATATTAAAAAATTTTCTCTCTCTCAAAAAAAAAGAAATATATGCTGTGCCTCAAAATTATTAAGAACGTTCACTAATTTTGACCGAGACTTAAAATTCTAGTACCATAAAAGATAAAAAACTTTCACAGATGAGCAAAGACTCTTTCTATAAGACCAACATGGTTCTGAAAGAGTGCCTGAAACATTGACTCTACTTGGTCGGTCAGTTCGCAAGTTCAGAAAGTGACACAGTATAATTGGATCATAAAATGCTGGCTCCATACTAGTGAACATCACCACTTGTGTCGGCTCATTCTCCTCCATTCCATTTACTCCAGGATTCTGGCTATTCCAGCAAGCATCTCACCTGGAGCAAGAGTAGCTAGAATGGTCAATATGATGGCAGTGAATTTTCCCTCCCAGGCTGTGCAATGCCACCACCTTTATGATCTTCAGAGAAGAAGGTAGTTCATAGACCACTGTCATCAAATCCTTGAGGCTAGAATATTTTCGATAAACAAAAAAGGGAAAAAAATCCTTTATTTATCTTGTTTATTCCTCAGAAGAATGCTATGAGCAGCACTCCTAACTTGGAAACAAATAAATTCTGCTCCTCCTTGCTTATTACATTCCCACTTTATGGAATTATGTACTGTGGTCGTAACGATCTCTCTGATCTTATTTCAGGTATCAGCTTCAGACCACAGAGAGACTTGCCATTTATTCTGTTTAATTTTCTTGTTTGAGCTTAACTAAATCAGTAATTGTCTTGTCTATTGACTCTTTATATTTTTAAGTCAGTTTCCATACCAGCATATATAGTTGGAGAAAGAATGGGGCTTGTCTGATTTGTTGGTTTTCTTTCTACTCCTGTTCCTAGGAGGTTGTCTGGCACCTAAACATACATGAACAAGTAACTGAGAGAAAACAAAGGATGGGGGAGAGTGAGGAAGGGACTAGAAGCCATGGAAGGAGAGAGGGATAAAGTAAGAGCAAATTATTAGAAAGAGAAAATCTTGCTCATAATTCATAGAAACAGTGTTAAAGGATCCCTCTGGGAAATTCTGGTGTATACTCTTTCTGTTTTTCTGATAAAAATAATATATTTTAACTCCAAGTATTACTACTTATAGTTTGAAATTTATATAGGATGAACACTTGTGCTATTTTCATATCTAATATTATACTTTAAGTATCCAAGGAAGCACAACACTGTTCTTGTGTTGCAAAATCGAGCTGTGAGACCATGATAATCTCTGGCTCAGATTTCCTTCTAGGTCATGTGGGAAGAAAGATTCAGGGTCCAGTAAATGAGAAAGAAATGGATATTAATGTATTTTCCTATTTGAGAGGTCATTGTGATAACACTACTACTGCTACTGCTAATAATAATGACATAAATAATAAAGAGAAAAATCATTGTGTTTGTACAGTCTTCTCTGTTTGACAGAGTACTAAACCAACTTGCAGAGGGAAGAATTTCTGTCTCCATTTGCAAATGACAGAATCCTGTTTCAGAAAGAAAGGTAATATGCCATCCCCATCTTTAGATAAAATTGTCTGTCAAATTATAACAACCAGGGGCTGGGGCTGTGGTTCAGTGGTAGAGCGCTCGCCTAGCACGTGTGAGGCGCTGGGTTCAATCCTCAGCACCACATAAAAATAAATAAGGAAAATAAAGGTATTGTGTGCAACTAAAACTAAAAAATTTATATTAAAAAATTATAACAACTGGAGAATGAAAACAAGAAAATAAACAACCA